ATCCATTTGCACACAACTGTTTCTTTTATGTTTTCTAAGTCTTCGCTCTCTATATAGCATTAATAATAAGTGTTTTAATTAGGGTGTGACACAGCACCAGAAAGGGTTACAGAACTAGCAGGCTAATTGACCCAGATTAAACGTTTAGAGATAAATTAGTAGATAATAGTTGTGTTTTTGTATGTGTTTACAAATATATTGTTAGAGGTTGACAATGTAACTAAATGGTTCCTATCACTGTATTCTGTTAATTCAGAGACCAAAAGACGATGTTAACATTTAGATGAACTATGAATGTAGTAATATCACTGTCTTAATTTCTCTTTGAAGTATGTAGTAAACTACCTGTAATTGGCGGGAGATGGGTAGCTGCTTTACATTAATCCATGTAGCTAATTACTGATTATGCTTAAGAAATAGGTGGTTACTTCAAAGCCACTATTGTTCACTCAAGGACTGCAGGCTGTCAAGAGGCTGCCAAAGAACTATAAAAAGAACTCTTGAGCCCTGACCCTATTATCTCAGTTCTGCTTAAGCTTGTCAGGGGAAGGTTGAGTCCCAAGACTGAGGTCTCCAGTCCCATCGGGATCTCCCTGATACTGGACAGTGGACTGTAACCTATGGACTAATTCTGAAAGAACTCTGTGCAACTGCAAAGCTCACCATCTCTATTATGAAACTGACCTAAGAGTTTTATTCAAGTCTGTGTGTAGAATGATCTTTTACCAATACCCACTCTCTGTTCTTTAATAAATCTTAGTTTAGTTAATAAGAATTGGCGGTAAGTGTGTATTTGGGTAAGATCTGAAATATTCACTGACCACGTGGGTGATGTATTTGATCCTTTGGGATTGGAATAACTTTTTATAGGGTGAAGATGATTTTCAGTAATCCTCATAATATTTGAACTGGCTGTCTGGGTGGGAGCTCAAGCCTGGGTTGCTTTAAGGGAGCTGTGTTTTGGCTTCTGGGTAACCAGTTAGGTATCATAGAAGCTGTTTTGTTGTTGGCTTGGTGAATCTAAGTATTAGAAATAACTACCAGTTTGGGGGATCATCTGCCCCCTTCTGTGCAGTTTGCCCTGATTGAGCGATCTCAGCGTGGCCCCCCTAAAACCCTGGTCACATAGGGATATGCCTGAACAAAAACTCCAGATCTGAACATTTCTGCACTTGTTGGAAATCTAAAACCTAACTCAGTAGCTGGGCCTATCTCCAGCTATAATAAAGTGTCTTTGGACGACATTCTCCTTGAAGGTAATTGTAGTCTTTTAGCTCATTTCTACAAGGCACACTATCAGTTTGCAGATTACCAATGAATAGCCAATACAATTAAGTGTATTAGTCTTTTTTATTTTGGAAAAGGAGAAAGAGTTGCGATGCAATCCTGGAAATCCATTAAGCCACCTACACCAGAAGGACAAGGACTGAATTTAATTGATGCATTGGTGTGGTGTCCAGGAGAAACTTATGTATATATACACCTCTTATCAGGTAGAATGAAAGCAGGTGACATAAAAAAAAAATCTGAAGTTATGACTTTTAGAAAGTCAGAGTTCCTGTATATTAGATATTCACATATTCCAAGGACAGAAGGTACCATTGTGATCATCTAGTCTGGCCTACTTTATAATACAGGCCAAAGAACTTCTCCTAAATAATTTCTAGAGCAGATCTTTTAGAAAAACATCCAATCTTGATTTAAAAATTGCCAGTGATAGAGAATCCACCATGACCCTTGGTAAATTGTTCCTATGGCTAATTACTTTCATTGTCAAAAAAATTATGCCTTATTTCCGGTCTGAATTTGTCTAGCTTCAACTTCCAGCCATTGGATCATGTTATAACTTTCTTTGCTAGATTGAAGAGCCCATTATTAAATGTGTGTTCCTCAAGTTGGCCCTTAACCTGCTTTTTGTTAAGATAGCTTTTTGCTAATAAGATCAAGAATAAGGATTTACAGAAGATTATTAATATATATTTGAAAGAATTCTTACTCTGATATGCTGTTCTACTATCACGTACGCAAGTAACCCAAATTAGAATGTATCATAAATGTATGTTGGCTAGCAATGTTTACCAATTTAGAGTTCACTTTAGACACTGACTTACCATACAGTAAAGCTTAATTGAGTCTTTTGTATAATGCAGTATTTGCATCTGAGAACAAAATGGTGATACTCTTCCTCAGGTAATACTCACCTATTAAGTAACCTTGCTTTTTAAGGCATTTAAGATATTTTTGTTCATCATCACTAAGTTGTTCTTCCGTTTTTTCTGCATCTGCTTTTAGCCTCTCCTGTCTCCTGAACAGTCTGTCAGATGTAGGGTTAATAATTGGAAATTTCAGGAGGTTTAAAGTTGTGCCTGGAAAACAAATTCCAACATTATCCAGGTCTGTGACTATGCAAACTGAACACAGTATGTATAAAAGCAATTACATGTTAAGGTTCAAACAATGAAAAAAGCCACATGCAGAAGAAAGTTCACAGGCTGTAGGATGGCCTCATTCTTCGTTATGAAACAGAAAAGCAATCACAACAACAACAAAACTAAAGTCAACCGCTAAGCTAATGGCTCTTCTCAGAAATTACCTGCCATAGTGGCTAGGACCACACTGTGATGTTGGACAGCGGTTGTCAGCTGTCGTGTTTGCTGAACTGATGATGAACACTACTTAGCATGCAGAGCAGACAAGAGCAAACCACATTCAGCACTGCATCAGCTCATCGCGATTAAAAATTGCCAAAACATGTTTAGACCCGAGTCACAAAACACAATTTTTGGCAACTGTACTCAGACATAGTGTAGACTAGGCCACTGGAGACCAAATCCTGGTCTCATTAAAACCAAGGGCAAAACTCTTCTTAATTTTAAAGGCCCAGAATTAGGTCAATAGCATTTGGGTTGAACAGCTGGTTAGAAATGAAAGTCTTTCTCAACAACTGCAGCAAAGTGATTTACATTTTTCTTGCTGCCACAAGTGCCGTGCACATGGTGTTGGCTCTGCCAAATCCTTAAAACATTACCTTTCTGTTAGTATCAGAACACTGAACGTGTGTGAGGTGGACTGCAGAAAGGAATGAAGGATGGGATTGGAATAACAGGAGTTCTAGGAAGAGAGTGTGCTGAGCATGATATGAAAGGATTATGCCTATGAACACATTCTTTTGCAAAGAAACTTTACTTGTGTAATTGCATGAAAACCGGCAAAATTCTGCAGTGATATTTACTTCACAATTAAGACCTATCCCATTTTGCTATTATGATTCTTATTTATGGCTCTCCATTTACTGAAAAAAAAAATATAAAAACTATATGTGAAAAATGTCTTTAAAGAACTACTGAAAGCAAACAGAATTTTGTAAGAGTAAAATTTGGTGTTTCTTTCAATTTGCCCTTTAAAGGTGATGTGCAAAGAAAACAATAGGGCTGTGGACATTTAAATTTGATTTTTTTTTTAACTTTAGAAATTCACGTCTTTTTTACAGTTTTTTTCCTGGAAGACACCACGGCCTTGTTGAGGCTAGGAAGGAAGATGTTTTTTAAAAATGTGTTAGCTAACACACTGGAATGCATTTTACAACCTCAGTGTAGATCATGCAATTGTATAATTTATAATGTATTAGCTGGCAAAGGTGAAGTTTATGGGGGAATGGAAGGTCAGCCAAATTATTTTATCTCTAACTACTGTTGATGGTCTTAGCAGAGAGGCAAAGGCATCAATGAGAATGAAGACTGAACTAACTTCACCCCTTGAGGAGTGTCAATACAAGAGCGTCAAGAGTTGTTACTTCTGTGCCTCTAGCATCTCAACAGGAGGCTCCTGCCACCACTGCTAAGGTCACCTTCCAGAGGTGCCAGATTCACTGAATAATGACACTGAAAGCTAGGCAGCTCTGTTTCAATGAATATTACTCAGTATTGGACAAGACTGCAAAACATTTTTCCCAAAGAGATTTTGAGACAAATATTTGGCCAAATTATATAAACTGGAGTTTAAGAGTTATGAATATATTGAGAAACTGACAATAACACTGACACAGGACTTGCTATATTCAGCCCTAGGCCAGTGCCAAAAAGAGCCCCATTAGACTGAAGGACCAGGAAGAGGTTTAACGTCTGATATTTTGCAAACCACAAGGGCTAGCAGTAAAATACATGACGCCAGTACTCTGTTCTCTCCAGGTCACTTTGCAGTTTGGTTCTGTCCCGCTGCCTGACTGCTTAGCCCTTTTCCAATTTTGATGCCGCCTGCAAATTTGATAATGGTTGAACTGACAGCAGAGAAACCCATGAGCCACCCATGCTGGGTGCAGAGAGAAGCTAATTTTTGGTTTTTCAGTTTGTCAAGAAAGCCTCTAGAAACGTAAAAGTTCTGCACTGGACTACAACTAACAGATGTGCCACTGCTTGAAGACTGACATCATTCTCCACTGTAAGGTAAACAGCTCCGAGCACCACCACAACATACCAATGGAAATCAAGAAAGGTAAATTCCTTTCAGAAGGCAAATTCACTAGCCCATTCCAGCTACCAGAGTGAAGCAAACTAGATGCAAAGCTAACTTAACTGGCCAGTTAAACCAGGTCTAACAGCTGCTTTGTGTCACCAGAGAGGCACAATTGGTTGTTTTTTATATTGGGGGAATGTAATCAAAGCAGTTTTGTTTAAAAAAAATAATAGAAATGTGAATGGTTGCAGGCAGAAGGGCATTTGAGAGGGAATAAGAGTGAGGGGCTTGGGGCTGCAGCAAGGGGGGGGATAAATGGGGATGGGTGATAGAAGAATTGAGGGAGACTGGGGGGGGGCTCAGGAGAGGAACAATGGGAAGGGGATATGAGAATGAGTGGCAGAGGGATGGGGAAGAATAGGGGCAGAGGTTTATCCCCTTCCATGTCTGAACACCAGGATGTGAGGGTCTACCCCCCTACGATTTAGTTGGGGTTGGCCCTGCTTTGAGCAGGGGGTTGGATTAGATGACCTCCTGAGGTCTCTTCCAACCCTAATCTTCGATGATTCTATGTGAGTTGGTACCTGGATGTCCTGTCCCCACAATGGTGCTTGAGCCCCTCTCTCTACTCCTATGTGTGTGCACCAGGATCTCGGGGCTCAGCCCATCTATGGTGGTCTGACCCCTCTCCTTGCCTCCCCATATGAACCAGGCTCTGGAGACCTCTTACCTTTCTGGGGGCGTCTAGCCCCTTTCTCTTGCCCCTCTGCCCTGCCATGTAAGCCAGGATCTGTGGAAGCCCCCCTGCCCCTCTGGGTGGAGAGCTTTGAAAAGGCATGCTGGGTGCGTGCACCAAGAACACACTGAGGAGACAAAGGTGAGGACCTGAGAACTGGCATGCTGTGCCATCTGCTGGCTTGATGGGATGGGAATGGGAGGGGGAGCTGGAAATGTTGAGGGTGGGCACTGTATGTTGCAGGGAATGCTGTGGCAGGGGGCAGAGAAGGAGAGAGACACACGAGCCTTCCCTCACATGCTTAAAATTGCTATAACAACCATGTCATAAAACTGTCAAGGTTTTGGGACATAGAACACGGATGAGATTTCTCTCGCTGGCCCTGTTAGCGGCTACACACTGCAAATGTTGTAAAGCATGACCATTATCCCCATTCCACTACAACAAAATGTACAGGAGCGGGGAGGAGCACTGAGGAATCACATAGCAACTGAGTGGCCTAGTGGAAAGACCACTAGACTGGGACTATTCCTAGCTCTGCCCCTGTCTGGCTGGGTAATCTTGGGAAAGTCACTTCACCTCTGTGCCTCAGTTTCTCATCTGTGAAATGGGAATATGTAAAGTTCTTTGAGATCTATTGATGAAACCACTGGATAAAAGCTAAGTCTTTTTATTATTAACCACTGTAGCATATCAACTGCAAACCTAAGTGAAAACTACAACTGCCCAAATGACCACTGCCTCCTACCAACAAACATTTCTGTTTAAAAAACTAAGAAATTCACTGACAAAAATCTTCGTTAACACAGAATTAAGGTTATCTGGCGATAGCTTGTGTCCCTCCAGAATGCTGAATTCAGCAAAACTCAAACTTCTGATAATCAGTTAATACAGAGTTAAGGTTCTCGTCCATCCTCCCTGTGCAAGGAAAAGGCCGGGGTAGAGACCGTCGAATCGTGGAAGTCAATGAATGGCTACGCAGTTGGTGTCTGAGAGAAGGCTTTGGATTCTTCGACCATAGGATGGTGTTCCAAGAAGGAGGAGTGCTAGGCAGAGACGGTCTCCACCTAACGAAGAGAGGGAAGAGCATCTTCGCAAGCAGGCTGGCTAAGCTAGTGAGGAGGGCTTTAAACTAGGTTCACCGGGGGAAGGAGACCAAAGCCCTGAGGTAAGTGGGGAAATGGGATCCTGGGAGGGAGCACAAGCAGGAGAGCGCAAGAGGGGAGGACTCCTGTCTCATGCTGAGAAAGAGGGACAATCGATGAGTTATCTTAA